CAAAATTACCCTGGCGACGTACCCAACCCCTGCGCAATGCGGGGCATGAGTAGCTTGGGAGACGTTATACGGAGGTGATGACGTGACATGGGCGCATATAGTTCTGCAAGCGGCATTCGTGATGCTCGCATCCCCCCAGGGATTGCGATGTCCCGCTCAAATCTGCCTGGTGCCTCGCTCCGCTGGACCCACCAGCAGCCCTCGAAAGTGGCGACAATTTCGCAGATCGCAGCCCCCCAGGGACGGCGAGGTCCCGCTCAGAACCGCGCGGTGCCTCACTCCGCAGGACCCACCAGCAGCCCTCGAAAATGGCGACAATTTCGCAGATCGCAGCCCCCTAGGGACGGCGAGGTCCCGCTCAGGCCCGCGCGGTGCCTCGCTCCGCAGGAACCACCAGCAGCCCTCGAAAGTGGCGACAATTTCGCAGGTCGCAGCCCCCCCCCCACAAGGACGGCGAGGTCCCGCTCAGGTCCGCGCGGTGCCTCACTCCGCAAGACCCACCAGCAGCCCTCGAAAGTGGCGACGGCTTCGCAGATCGCAAGCCACCCCAGGGACGGCGAGGTCCCCGCTTCGGTCCCGCGGTGCCTCACTCCGGCAGGCACCCACCAGCAGCCTCCGAACGTGGCGACAGTTTCACAGATCGCAGACCCCCAGGGACGGCGAGGTCCCGTTCAGGCCCGCGCGGTGCCTCATTCCGCAGGAGCCACCAGCAGCACTCGAAAATGGCGACATTTCGAAGGTCGCAGCCCCCCAGGGACGGCGATGTTCCGCTCGGGTCCGCGCGGTGCCTCGCTCCGCAGAACCCACCAGCAGCCCTCGAAAGTGGGGACAATTTCGCAGATCGCAGCCCCCCAGGGACGGCGAGGTCCCGCTCAGGTCCGCGCGGTGCCTCACTCCGCAGGACCCACCAGCAGCCCTCGAAAGTGGCGACATTTCGCAGATCGCACCCCCCCAGGGACGGCGAGGTCCCGCTGAGGTCCGCGCGGTGCCTCACTCCGCAGGACCCACCAGCAGCCCTCGAAAGTGGCGACAATTTCGCAGATCGCAGCCCCCCAGGGACGGCGAGGTCCCGCTCAGGTCCGCGCGGTGCCTCACTCCGCAGGACCCACCAGCAGCCGTCGAAAGCGGCGACAATTTTGCAGATCGCAGCCCCCCAGGGACGGCGAGGTCCCGCTCAGGTCCGCGCGGTGCCTCACTCCGCAGGAACCACCAGCAGCCCTCGAAAATGACAACATTTCGCAGATCGCAGCCCCCCCCGCAAGGACGGCGAGGTCCCGCTCAGGCCCGCGCGGTGCCTCACCCCGCAGGACCCACCAGCAGCCCTCGAAAGTGGCGACAGTCTCCCAGATCGCAGCCCCCCAGGGATGGCGAGGTTTGATTTGTGTCCGCGCGTCGCGTCACTGTGCTGGGCCCCCCAGCAGGCCTCGAAAGCGGCGACAGTTTCACAGGTCGCAGCCCCCCAGGGATGGCGAGGTCCTGTTTGGATCCGCGGTGAGTGCCCTCTCTGCTGGCCTCCCCAGCAGCCCTCGAAAGTGGCGACAGTTTTGCAGATCGCAGCCCCCCAGGGATGGCGAGGTCCTGTTTGGATCCGCGGAGAGTACCCTCTCTGCTGGCCTCCCCAGCAATCCTCGAAAGTGGCGACAATTTCGCAGATCGCAGCCCCCCAGGGATGGCGAGGTCCCGTTTGGATCCGCGGTGAGTGCCCTCTCTGCTGGCCTCCCCAGCAGCCCATCGAAAGTGGCGACAGTTTCACAGGTCGCAGCCCCCCAGGGATGGCGAGGTCCCGTTTGGGTCCGTGGTGAGTGCCCTCTCTGCTGGCCTCCCCAGCAGCCCTCGAAAGCGGCGACAGTTTCACAGATCGCAGCCCCCCAGGGACGGCGAGGTCTCGTTTGGGTCCGCGGTGAGTGCCCTCTCTGCTGGCCTCCCCAGCAGCCCTCGAAAGTGTCGACAGTTTAGCAGATCGCAGCCCCCCAGGGACGGCGAGGTCCTGTTTGGGTCCGCGGTGAATGCCCTCTCTGCTGGCCTCCCCAGCAGCCCTCGAAAGTGGCGACAGTTTCGCAGGTCGCAGCCCCCCAGGGACGGCGAGGTCCCGTTTGGTTCCGCGGTGTCTCGAGTACCCTCTCTGCTGGCCTCCCCAGCAGCCAGCGAAAGTGGTCGACAGTTTCGCAGGTCCGCCAGCCCCCCAGGGATGGCGAGGGTCCTGTTCTGGATCCGCGTGGGGTACCTCTCTTCTGCCCCCCCAGCAAGCCCATCGAAAGGGCGACAGTTTCGCAGATGCGCAGCCCGGAACCCAGGGAGGGAGGGTCTCGCTCAACTCTGCGCGGTGCCTCAACCCACACGGCGAGAGGAGACAAGAGGGAGGCGGGAGGCGGGAGGCGGGAGGAGAAGGACGCGACCACACCCCTCTATTCAAAACGAATACCCAACCAAGGAGGGTTGGGAAAAAGTGTTTTTGTCCCCTCCTGAACTGTGGCTGGCCGCGCCTCCACGCGGCGCGTCCAAACCAGGCTCCGGCTCGGGCACCGGAAGAGGTTCCGCACGCCCAGGACCTTGAACTGCCGCAGCACCTATGGAGGAGCAGGCAGCGGCAGCAGCAGGCACCGCCGGAGGTCCTCGCCGGGCGAAAGGCCCAGACCCCCTCGAGCAATGAAAAAATCACGACGGGAGGTTTTTCCTAATTTTCGGCCTCCGGGGGCCCTCACCGGGCCTCGGGAGCCTCAAAAAACGACTCAGGATGCAAAGCCGGTCATGGGGAAAGGGTCGGGACCTCTGGAGGTCGACGTAATGAAAAAATCATTACGTCGGGGGTCTGGGAGGGGGATAGCAAAGGGGGGGTTTGAGAATCGGCTCACGTATATAGCTGATTTTCCTGGCGCCTCCCGGCGCCGGAGGCGCGGCTATGTATCGAGGAATGGGCCCCCCGGGAGGGATCGAAACCGGCTGCATGCAGCAGATTTCGTACCCCCCCCTTTCCCAATCCCCCCCTTCGTCCAGCCCGATCCTCGGACCGGTCCAGCGACGATCCCAGGAATCCGCGTGGGCCCCCGCCAGAAAGGCACCCATACCGCTGCTCCCCAGACCTCTCCCGGGGCGCGCTCTGAGCAGGATTTCGAGGCGGATCCAGCGGTGGCAGCGATGGCCTTCCGGGAGGCCCAAGAGGGGGACAGCAACGAGGGAAGGGCAGCGGTATTGAGGTACCTCTTCCTCTCCTGGGCTTTTGTCCCTCGAGCGCCGAGTCCAGCCCGAGCTGCAGCATCTCGCAGCTGCCGAACACCAGCGACAGCCTGGCCAAGTCCAGCAGGTGCCGGTGGCGCCGGCCGCCCTCCGCCGGCCCGTAGGACGCCAGCGCCTTCACCTCGGCGGCAGCCCTCGGCTTCACGCCGGGGTTGTAGGCGAAGAGGGCCATGGGGAAGGCCTGAGGGGCAACAGGAAGCACGCAGGACCATTGACCCCACCGTAAGACATCCAGGAGATCTAGGGGCACCTCCTTCCTCGACGCCGAGCTTCGCGAGGTGCCTCCGCGGCTGCGCGGCCCCATCGGGGGGTACGAGACTATAGTGGGGCGCCCGTCGGTGCGCCAGTTCTTCTTATTGGATGTGCCTGCTGCCAAGGGGGGGGCCGGCCCAGAGGCGTGAACATCGAGCTGGAATCGGTGGCGCATTGCCGACAGCTCGGCGTCATGCGGGCCCCCGATCGCGAACAAACCGCGCGCTCTCCAGAGATGGGGCAGGCTGTCGGGCGCCCCTCGGAGGTCACCCTCGGAAGCTCTCTCCGGGTCCCACCCAGAGTTCTTCGACCAGCCTCTCCACGTTCTTCGGGCGCCCTGCCATCCGGGTTTGGGACCCCGCTGGGGGCCGATGCCGCGAGCCCCTGCCCCGCAGAGATCTGCGTCTCCCAAGTTTTCGGGTAGTGCCTGGGGCTCACGGGGCCCGCACGAGACGATCTGGGCCCCTCCTCCTCCTCCTCCTCCTCCTCCTCCTCCTCCTCCTCCTCCTCCTCCTTGGCGGCCTGCGTTCCCTGGCGGCCTCGGCTCCCCCGCGCGTGTCCTGGACCTG